TGAGGAGCAGCTTCTGGGTTTGAATTGCTAACCTTGCAGTTCAAACCACCTTGAGGTCCAGTGCTTATCCTTTAGTGCCATGCCAGGACTCCTTTAATGACTGATGTTGTTGTTATTGTTAAGTGCTATTGAGTTGGTTCTGACATAGCTATACTATTTAGGGTTTCTGAGGCGGTGTTGGTGGCTTTGAACCACCAATCATATGATCCAATGTATTATTCTGTCTGATTATACACATTTAAATGTAAAAGGGCTACCTGGGATTAAGATAATCACTGCCACTGGAAAGACTTAATAAAATTAAGTTACTAACTATAGTTATATAACAAAAGATTTTATAAAATTAGTGTTGTAAAGTGATATTAAAAGCTTAGCTGCCAGTTTGCTATTCATTAAATGTTACTCATGTCTTCACTTCCAGAAGATATACCAGCTACATGGAAGCAGGAAACCAAACAAAGTTTTCAGAATTTCTCCTACTGGGCTTCTCTGAGTATCCAGAACTACAGTCCCTCCTCTTTGGCATGTTCCTGTCCATGTATCTAGTCACTGTGCTCGGGAATCTGCTCATCATCCTGGCTGTGACCTCTGACTCCCATCTCCACAACCCCATGTACTTTTTTCTCTCCAACCTGTCCTTTGTTGATATTTGTTTTGTCACCACCACAGTTCCTAAGATGCTGGCAAATATCCACACACAGAGCAAGGGCATCTCCTACATAGGATGCCTCATTCAGATGTATTTCTTTATTCTTTTTGTTGCAATGGACAATTTTCTCCTGACTGTGATGGCCTATGATCGCTTTGTGGCCATCTGTTACCCCTTGCACTACAACGTCATCATGAACCCCCAACTCTGTGGCTTGTTAGTTATGATGTCTTGGGTCATAGCTTTCTCAGTCTCTCTGCTTCATACTTTACTAATCATGCGACTGACTTTCTGTGTAGATACTGAAATTTCAAATTTCTTCTGTGATCTGGCTCAGATTCTGAAGGTGGCCTGCTCAGATACCCTCATCAATAATATCATTTTATTTGTGCTCTCTGGTCTGCTGGGTGTGTTTCCCCTCACTGGAATCCTCTACTCTTATTCTCAGATTGTCTCCTCCCTAATGAGAAAGTCTTCTGCTCAGAGCAAGTATAAAGCATTTTCTACTTGTGGGTCTCACCTCTCTGTTGTATCC